GCTGGTGTTTCCATTCAAATTGTATGACATTAACACATTTTGTAACCAATTGCTTATTGATATATTGAACATTTATTGTGATCAATCTACAGATTCACAAGAGCACGGGAAATTGGATTGGCCAAAACGTCATAAGACTATTGAAGGGATAGCTCGATGGATGCTCTATCTTCATGAAGATTCTGCTAGACATTTGTGATAAATTGTTTCAGGCTTGGAAACTTTGGAAGAACGGAACACCATTGAAATTGATGGATCCAACTTTGGAAGTATTGTATTCAAGAAATGAAGTCTCCAGATGCATCCATATTGGCTTGTTGTGTGTTCAATAAGACCCAGATGCTAGGCCCTCCATGGCAGCAGTAGTTTTGATGCTCAACAGTTACACTATTACCCTAGCAATTCCTGAAGAACCTACATTTTTTTCTCCTAGTAAAACAGATTAAATATAAGACAAGGTGTAGAGTCAGATCAATCTACAAGGAAGTCAATACCATTGTCTGTGAATGACGTAACAATTTCTGAATTAGACCCTAGATAATGTGAGAAGTCTATGACATATCAAGGTTGAAGGATAAATTTACAGTGTGTAATGAATAGAAATAAACTCAAACACTGTAGTGGGTTAGTTATATTTTTAGTTCCAAAATATGAGTCTTATGCTGTGTCATTTTAATTTTTAATGTTTAAATTGTATTTCAACTTAGTTTTCAATATTTAAATTGTATCAATCTGATTTCTAATATATAAAAAAATGTTTCAATTTAGTTTCCCAATAACTTGAATTGCCTATATAGCCATTGAAGCACCACATAAATATATATATTTTTGGTAACTGAATGTTGAGAAATATACAATAGAATTCAAGGAAATTCTATAATAGACATATTGAAAAAGGTGTGTATCATATGTCTCAATGATGATATTTGTGGCCTTTGGTTATGACTCATTACGATGTTAGTTCTGACTTCATTATGACTCATTATAATCTTAGTTATGATCTATTGTTGTTATTATTTAGGTTATGACTAAAGAGGTTTTGGTTATACCGCAAGTGATATTTTGGTTATGACCATTGAATGATAAATATAATTTTGAAAATAGTGTTGTAAAATTGTATAACTAAATACATAATTGACAATTGAAATTTCATAATAAGAAACATGCTAAAACAGATTCGCCGCAAACAGAGATACATAATAAAATAAAATAAAATAAAATGGCAAAAGAAAGCAAACCGAAACCTGCACTAGACAGTTTCTTCTAAACAGATTCGCCGCTTCACCGATTAGGGTGCTGGAGGTTGTTCGACGTTTGTCTCCCAAGATACGACGGTTGGACCAATTACAGCCAAACACCTACGGTGTAGCTTCGGCAAACAGAACTCATACAACACTCTCTCACAAGAAAGAATACAAAACTGGAGAAAACTAGAGAGCAAGAATAACGAGAATTTTTGGAGGTGGAAAACTGAAGGAGATGGGCCTCCTTTTATACACATGGAATAAGAGAGAAAGAGGCTCCTGCCATCAAGGCCCATCACAGATGTAGTATTAAACTCTGCAATACTGATGGATTTAATCCGTCATGAATATAGAGGAGTTACCAGCTTTTATACACATGCGTATTGTGTATATTCTTGCAGCTACACATCTAGCTTGGCCCAAAAAGATTAAGATGGGTGGGCCAAGAACCCAACCCAACCCCTACACTTAATCCAATCCAATAAGCCTCGAGCCCAAGCCCCAAGATCCACGACCCACGATCACGGACCTTGGACCCAACCAAACCCCCACACTCAATCCAGTCCTTTAAGCCTCAAGCCCAAGTCCCAAGATCCACGATCCAAAACCCACGAACCACGAACTCGACTCGGTTCGGACGGGTAGTCGGGCCGTGCGCACACGCTCACGTGTGGCAATTTTTGCATAACCAACTTGGTCCATAGTCTTGGCCCAAATCCATCCTTGAAGCATCTATTACTCCTTTCCTACGAAAAATTTGAATGCCCCAAAGGGCTCACACCCTTCGGCAAAAGATGAGATTTAAATACCCATCAATACTCTCATCTGTAATCAATGTGAGATAGAAGGTTACACACCTTACCCAATACCTTTTTCATGAGGCCAACTTAATGAGCCAATTTCTCATTCAAATTTTAATGGTTTTTTATCATTCTTTTTGTGGTATAAAGATTTCATTACAAAGAACCTAACCCACTCTAATTCACTTCAATCGAGGATTGGCACCCAATTTAATATTGTATTAAAGTCACCAAAAAATCATTATTTTCCACCAATCCCCCACATAAATAAAAATTGACTAAATAACAACAAATGGACAATGCTTAACAACAAAGACTCAAAGAAAGAGTGCAACGTAATCACTCCTACATCGAAAAAATGTAGCTTTTGGCTTTAAACCCCTCCTGGTGAGGTCTATCAGATTTATTAGTTGACTAGTGAACACGAAGTCTTGAACTGTTCTGCCGTTTATATAAACCAAGACAACATATCTCACACAGGTATTACTCCAACCATCGTTCTGTTCTCACTATTATGTCCGGTTTGGCCTTGAAACACTAGCCTGGTTCAGTGAGTGGTTTAAAGAATTTGGCCTTGTCAATTCTTATAGAAGCGGCCCTACTTCACACTCACACAGGTGACTCTACTTGAGTATCCTGCTATACTCAGCTCAACAACTCAACACACCAGAGTCATTAAAAGCTCAGCTTAACCCTTACACTTACAACTATCACTGATAAAATAAATGACTGGAGGCTTTAACCTCCTCAGTGACATACCACCATTATACGCAATTAAGTTGTCCTATTGAACCTAGATCTTGGGATTTCCCATCAACTAAGTACGGTTTCCATTTCGGTAACACACTATAGGCCTTAAACCCATTCCTTCTGATGACTTCTCTACTAACAATCGATTTAAACCTTTAGTTAGCGGATCCGCAATGTTGTCCTTAGACTTCACATAGTCTAAAGTGACAACTCCGTTAGAGAGTAGGTGTCGTATGGAATTATGTTTACGATGGATATGTCCAGACTTACTCTGTGCTCGTTCAATAGCCGATTGGCTGTCATAATGAATACAGATAGCTGGCATAGGTTTCGACCAACGTGGAATATCCTCAACAAAATGGCAAAGCCATTTTGCCTCTTTTGTTGCTTTATCCAATGATATAAACTCTGATTCCATCATTGATCGTGAGATACACATTTGCTTGGAAGATTTCCAAGACATGGCTGCCCCTCCATGGGTGAACACATAACCACTAGTGAATTTCGAATCCCTAACATTAGATATCCAATTCACATCGTTATAACCTTCTATTATTGCTAGATATCTACTGTAATGCAGCCCATAATCCTTGGTGAAACGGAGATACCTTAACACTCAAACGATACCCTTCCAGTGAGTGGCATCAGGATTGCTCATGTATCTAATAAGCCTGCTAACAAAGTAGGTTATATCCGGCCTTGTACAACTTATTGAATACATCGAACTCCCAATGACCCAAGAATATTCTATCTGAGAGACACTCTCACCATTATTCTTAGTCAAGTGTAGACTCAAGTCTACCGGTATCCTAGACACAATTGTATTTGATTTACAAAACTTCTCAAGTATCTTCTCAACATAGTGAGATTGAGAAAGTACAATACCATTAGATGTTCTGGTAATCTTAACACCCAAAATTACATTTGCAAGGCCCATATCTTTCATGTCAAACTTAGAGTTTAACAATCTCTTAGTAGTCCTAATCATCTCATCATTGCTACCAATAATGAGTATGTCATCAACGTATAGACATAAAATGTCATAACCTCTGTCAATGTCTTTGACATATTCGCATTTATCACACTCATTAATCTTGAACCTATTTGACAACATAGCATTGTCAAATTTCTCATGCCATTGTTTAGAAGCTTGCTTTAAACCATACAATGATTTGACAAGCTTACAGACTTTCTTATTTTGTCCTGGAGCTGAAAACCCCTCGGGGTGCTCCATGTAGATTTCTTCATCTAAATCTCCATTTAAGAAAGCTATCTTTATATCCATCTGATGTATCTCTAGACCCCATAAAGTTGCTATCTCAATCACCATGCGAATGGATGTAATCTGTGTCACATATGAATACATATCAAAGTAATCCAGGCCTTCTCGCTACCTGCATCCTTTGATAATTAGCCTAGCTTTATACTTATCAATTTATCCATTTGCTTTCATCTTCCTTCTAATGACCCACTTGCTCCCCAAGACCTTACTACCTAGGGGTAGATCAACCAACTCCCAAGTATGGTTTTGTAAGATGGAGTCAATCTCCCTCTTAATTGCTTCTTTCCACAAGGGACTTTCAGGTGAAGTCATAGTTTCATGGAAAATTCAAGATTCTCCCTTTAACATATAAGTCAAGAAGTCTGGACCAAAGGACTTTGCAGTCCTAACCCTTTTACTCCTTCTTGGCCCATCTACTTCCTCAGCTTGATCATCGACTTAATCATCTACTTGATCATCTGCATGATCATCTATGTGATCATTGTTACCTTCAACCTCTTTCATGGAACTCGAAACCCTTTCTTGGAGACGACAGGGAAAGACATCTTCAAATAAAGATGCATGTCTTGATTCCATGATCGTATTCTTGTGTATATCTAGAATAGTAGACTTATACACAAGAAATCGATATGCACTGCTATTATGTGCATAGCCAATAAATATACAATCCACTGGCTTCGGGCCTATCCGAACTTGCTTGGGTATAAGTACCACCACTTTCGCAAGACACCCCCACATTTGTAAGTATTTATATGAAAGCTTGTGGCCTTTTTACAACTCATATGGAGTCTTGTCCACTTTTTTCCGAGGTATTCTATTAAGAATGTAATTCGCAGAAAGAATTGCTTCAGCTCAAAAGTTTTATGGCAAACCAGAACTTACTAACATCACATTCATAATTTCTTTTAATGTCCTATTTTTTCGCTAAGCAACACTATTTGACTGAGGAGAATAAGGCGATGTAGTTTGATGCATAATCCCAAATTGAGCACAAAGCTCAATAAACAGGGATTCATACTCACCACTACAATCACTTCTTAAAGCCTTGATCTTACAGCTTAGTTGATTCTCAACTTCATTCTTAAAAAGAACAAATTTATCAATTGTCTCATATTTGCTTCTAATAAAATACACATAACAGTATTTAGTGCAATCATTAACAAAGTGATGAAGTACTTGTTGCCACCACGTGACTGTACGACTTTCAAGTCACACATATCACTATGCACCAAATGTACAGGCTCAGTACTTCTTTCAACAGAATAAAAAGAAGTCTAGTCAATTTTGCTTCTACACAAATTTCACACTTGTAAGTTGGATTAATTTTGAAAGATGGTATGTGATCTAACTTGATTATTCTACTCAAAGAGTCAAAATTTACATGACCCAGTCTACGATGCCATAAATTAGGGGACTCAAGCATATAAGCAGAAGAATAAGTTTTCTCAGTAATTTTAGGAATAAGAATCATTACATTGAACTTAAACATACTGCTCGACATATACCCATTCCCCGCATAGACCCCGCTCTAGGTCAACACAACCTTATCAGACTTAAACACCATGCGGGAGCCATGCTTACTTAAGAGCGACCCCGAGACAAGGTTCTTACGAATGTCTAACACAAATAGGACATCGTTCAGGGTCAGCTCTTTTCTTGAAATCATCTTCAGGACCACCTTGCCTTCATCCTCAACAGTTGAGGTGGCAGAATTCCCCATGAACAACTTCTCACCGTTTGAAACCGATTCGAAAGTTGTAAACATCTTCTTTTCAGAACAGATGTAGCGAATGGCCTGAGTGTCCACCCACCATGCAGATACATGTCGTCCACATCTTGTGATAGATCCTCCATTTCAGCTATGTGAGCAGGGCTTTTGTTTTGTGGAGGGTTCTTTTTGTAGGGTTTCTTCTTCTTGTGGCAATCAACCGCCCGATGTCCATCACTTCCACAGTTGAAGCACCTTCCATTAAACTTAAAAATAGGTTCCTGCGGCTTGTAGACTGACCTCTTAAAGACTCCACCTATAGCCCCTAACTCTGAGCTTTTTCCTATCGGTGACTTCTTCTTCACCCCCGATGACTGGCCATACTTAACCACATTTGCTTTCACAGTGGAGGTACTCCTCACTTTCTTCTTGTTGTCTTCCTTAATACGAAGCCTGACAACAAGCTCTTCAACTGTTATCTCATTTCGCTTGTGCTTCAAGTAGTTCTTGAAGTCTTTCCAACTATTAGACAGCTTCTCAATCAAAGTAATTGCCCGGGATGATTCACTCAGAAACATTCCCTCTGCATGAATCTCGTGCAGAATTACTTGAAAATCTTGGACTCGACTAATGTTGGTTTTTGAGTCCACCATTTTGAAGTCCAAAAACCGGCCAACGACAAATTTGTTTGCCCTAGCATCTTCGATCTTGTACTTCTTCTCCAAAGCATCCCACAGCTCCTTTGTCGACTTCTTGGCATAAAACACATTGAATAGTGGGTCTACCAAGCCATTCATAATATAATTCCGACAAAGGAAGCCTAACTACTTCCAAGCAACTAGAGCCATGAGCTTCTACTTGTCTTGCTCATTCTCTTCCACAGCTGGTAGATCCTCATTTAAAAACCTCGCAAGGCTTGAGTAGTTAGGTAGAACATCTTTTGCTATCACCTCTTGAAATTCACTCCCGTGAACTTCTTTGGGCATTCATGATGGTTGAGCGGTCCTCCTGGAACAACAGGAGTAGCAATAGGGTTGACCACAAAGGTCATAGAAGGGGTTGGCAAGCCAGTTGTCCCGAGGTTCTGATCCTCACCAACATTAGTAGTAGCGATAGTTGCCATTTTTGAAAAATACAATAGAATTTCACTATTCTGTGTTTCCAGAAATCAAACTTGACACTAGAAAATCTCAAAGTTAGAAATTGAATTCAAAACTAGACTCACCACTCAACCTAGAATCGAACATGGTTAGGAATGTTTTCAGGAAGATTGGAGGGGTCATATTGGTCCCACTAAAAACCCAATTAACCTTAGACAAAACTTTCAAGAACATGTTGACGCCTAGTCCATGGGAAACAATTTTTAGAATTGAGTTTTCCATGAAATGTATTAGGTTAAAACAAACCAAGTTCCAAACGTACATGCAATTTAAAAATTGCTAATCAAATTACAAGCAATTAAAACAAATTGTTATAAGAAATACAAGCAAACAAAATACTTCAATACATTGGTAAAAACCCCAATTAAAACTCAAGCAAAAATTGCTACAAATTTAGTCCAACAATCTCTTTCCATGCTTAGGTATTCATGTTCAACACAAAGCTTAGTAGTCCAAAACTTTTAATTTTCTAGTCCCAAATACCATTCATTTGATTTGCTCTTCTTTTTTTTTTTCCGCACATGTATTCCTGTAAAGAAGGTTGGCACAAAAACACAACAAAATACAAAGCAAATAATTGAAAGAACTGTAAAAGTAATAAATTTATTGAATCCTTCTAGCAAACTATTTAATAGTAAAATTAAGTAAAAATTAAAAACTAGACAAGTTACACAATTAAATTTATAACTCCAAAATTAAAGTAAAATTTTAATAGGCAAGAGTTAGGAAATTCATCTTTTAGCGGCGTTTAAAAAATGCTGCTATAAGTGCCAAAAACGCCGCTAATTCTTTTTGTGACGCTTAGCACCAAATGCCGAGGACGCGATCGTCGCTACAACTTTATGACGTTTTAAAAACGTCGTTATATTAGTATAGAAACGCCGCCAAATGTCCTACTTGACAACATCATGACATCACTATGATATTTAGCGACATTTTTTAAACGCCATGATATCCCTTTTTCTTTTCTTTTTTGAAATTATGCTAATTTTATGTGATTAAACTAAAATATATATATATATATATATAATAAAACTGAATAGCACTAATATGAAATAATAACTTACATTCAAATAGCAAATGCAACATTAATTCACTTTCCCATCTAATTTAATATCCAATCACCATTACCCACAAAATAACATATCCACAAATGATATTTTAATATTACCCACAAAATAACATATCCAAAAATTAAATTCACAATTCTCAACCAAAAAATTACTACTTTGTATACAAAGCCACAAAATAACATTACACTCTTTTCTCTCTCTCTCTCTCTCTCTCACATTACTCCCTCTCCCATTTAACACAAAAAATAAGAAGAAAGTGAACCAAAACACCCAACTCCCCAATCAGATCAGAGAAAAAAAAGAAAAAAGAAAAAAGGTAAGAAATAAGAATCTAAAGGAAAGCCCCCATCCATCCTTCACTGTCATTCTGAATCGCTCTCCATGCTGCTTCCCATGGCCTTCAATCCTCTCGATCTCTGCCAATCATAAAACATAATGATAAACCAAAAGGAAGATCCAACCATAATAACCATGCACTCAGCTTTAGTCTATAAGTTCAATTATTGGCTTCTAACTATAAGTTCACCCATGCATGAAATTATTTTCTAGAGTCCATTAAGCATGTCAGCTATTACCAAGAATTAGATACAACATTTCCTCTCCATTTTTTTGAGAAATTGAAACTTACTTGTATAGATAGATAGCAATCCCAAGAATTATGCACAACAGTATAATATCAATGTAGAAATTTGGACTGGACCTTAGCTGAAACAAAACAAAACTTTTTGTTAAATCCAGCAAAGAGATCTACGACATAGCATAGCTGAATCTCTCTCTCTTTCTCTCTCTCTCTCTCTCTCTCTCTCTCTCTCTCTCTCTCTCTGCAGCACACAAAGTGATGCAAATCTACAAAAAATACAGTGGTAGCTCAATCACCTGGTTAACAATATCCTTCAGTCTCGCATTGGTGTTCTTAAGGTCAGATGTCGTATTGTCGACCTATAGGATGTGAAGAAATACACCATTAATAATTTAAGAATACTTGTAGCTTCAGATATTACTAGGACAGGATGTGTTCTCAAACCTTAGTGTCAATCCATCCGTTAAAGGAACTTGCCTATCCATTTCCTGTATGAATTGCAAAGTCAAAAATTGATGTGCACAAAATGGGACAAAGCAAAAGATACAAATGCACAAGGCAGTAGCAAACCTCATTCAAATCATGGGCCATGTTTTTCAATGTATCCAAACCTTCTAATATCACTTCCAATCCTTGGTCATGTGTGAACATCAAAGTAAAACACATTATTTTTATTTTTTATTTGGAATCATTAGAACAATGAATGTAGAAACCACAGAAGAACAAATCCTCATCAGAAAGAAAAAAAATCATATTTCCCTCCAATTAAAAAAAAGAAAGGTATTCAACTCTAAAGAATTACATGCCTGCTTCATTTTCCGCATTTCATATGCAAATGAATTCCATAGACCTGATCAATGTTGACAAGCCTTGTCTGGTTTTTATATCTATACTAACCTCACCCAAAAAAAAAATATATTAATTAGTGCTACTTTATATATTAAGGACCTGAGAAATTCCTCATTAACCTAATGGTTATAGATTGTAATCACATTAATGTAAACCGATTTTATATAACATATTTAAATAATTCAACTGTGATTTATTGTGTTCATACCTTGATGCTTAGGAAGATGGCCCTGATGTGGAGTCAGCAAGTGACGGTTAGAAACTTGAGAGAAAGTTGCTGCACCCTGATTCACATCCTTCAAGTTGACATATAAGGCAATTAAGGATTCAAGATATTGCATGGTTAAAGATACGAGGCACTAAAAAAAGATATAAGGAAATACTTTCAAGAGAGATTGCATTTGGATAAATATTTAGCAAAAATTATTGTGGGTTTCATTATTAGGGGATAAGGGCATATTGATGGCCCTTGGGATTTTCTTTCACCAGATGCCGCTAGGTTTAAATTACTAGACTCAATGCAGAGCTCTTAGACTAATATTCATAGTAAAAACAAGAACTCTTAGACTAATATTCATAGTAAAAATAAGAACTCTTTCTCAGGACAAACCTTGGGTAAGTACAATATATATTTTTCTTTTGAACAAAAGTGAGTGCAATTGGCTAGTAAGTAAAATATTTGGTCAACTAACATTTACTCACAATTTCCTCATTGTAGTTTCTTCCTTGATATCAGCATTTGATTACTTACCACACCATGGGAGAAACAACCAAAACTTGATAGGACATACCGGTTGAGAATATTGAGAATCGCCGATTCCACTGCCAGCTACCAAGTTACCAAATGAAACAAACTTTTTGGAGCTGTCAAGTTACAAGTTACAAGCTACCAAGCATCCATTTACCTTAGAAGCTGAATGTGAACTTTTTGGAGGGACCATTTCAGTTAGAGTCGATGATGAACTAACACGTGATTCAGTGTTACCCTTCACAAAAGATGTGTCAGAAATTGAAATAGCTGGGGAAATAACATTGGAGTATGCATTTTCTTCTGAAATATGCCTATCTTGACATTGGTTGTTCAGTTCACCAATGGAAGGAAGAGGATGATCAGAAGGTGCACCATTTGGCAGCAATTTGGATGACATATCTGAAAGAATTCCTTCAACAGCTTTCGACTGGGTAAAGCAAGCATCAACTGCATGTAAAGAGTAACATCAATTAGTTAGGTCAGGTGGGTAAGCTGCATGTAGAGAATTATTCAACTTCAAATCTAGTAACAGCATTTAATTGAGCAAAGAAGGCATCCCTATTGGATGGGATTCAAGTTTTAGTTCTATTTCCTTAGTTCAAGTTTACATGATCAACTACAAATGAGCAAGTTTTACTCTATAATAGATATACAACCAAAATCAACAAGTTTGTTTGCTTCACTTCTCCAAAACAACCATTTTCCCTAGTCAGAAAAACTGAGAACATGGTTGTGGCTTATTTAGCAAAAAATACATCAATTTCCATTAAATTCAACTCTTGTTATCGGTATGTTTTACACTTCCTACCAAATAATCCAATCAGAAAAGACAATAATTTTAAAAGAATACGAGATAAAGCCAAATTTATTTACAGTCAAACAACAAAATTATCATTAATCTCAAAATTCTCGACTATGGCACTACATACCAATATGGTGAAGAATATAGGTTGCCAACAACATTCTCAGTGTCTGAATCCAGAAACAATCATAGAACTGGACTCCAAAATATTCTTTGTTTGGGATTAAGAAGAAATTGAAAAATCAACTCAAAATTCATGTTAGAAAATGAGCAATACCAAAGAATGCAACCATCAAATCCCAGATGCAAAACTCACCAGGGTGGTCAAAGTTGTGTTCGTGAACTCTTGTAAGTTCCTTGGGGGTCAAATTGTGATAAAAAGAATCCTGCTAAATCATCCACAGCAAGATATTTATTTGCAATGAAAAATAAATCACCTCATCAAAGAAATCAAAGAGAAGTGGTGATCAACTGTTGTAAATTTGGGAGGCAAATGTATGGAAATGTGGATGAAACTTCAATTCTATATGCTGATAAAAGACACATCCACACACACACACACCCGAGGGGAGGGGAGAGAGA